AAAATAAAATAAAGCTAAAAATAATATTATTTTAATAAAAAATATAAAACATTAATATTTTATTAATAATAAAAATAATTAATAATAATTTTAAATAATAATATAAAAAGTTAAAAAATAATAGTATAAATAAATATAATACATAAGTATATAATAATATAAATATAAATACAAATATATTTAAATAAAAAGTAGCTAGTAGTAGCTATAGTGGTTATATTATTTTAAGTAGTAGTTTTAAATAATATTAATAGGTTTTAATAAATATTAATAATATATACCATTATATTATAATAAATATTAATAGTTTTTATCGCTATAATTTAATAAATATTTATTAACTTATTAGTATATACCGCTTAAATTAATTAATATAGCGCTATATAGCGCTATATAGCGCTATATTATAGTAGTATTAATGCACCTACCGCCCTACTAGGCTATTTTTAAGCCCTATTAGCTGCTGCAGAATACCGTATTAAAATTTTAAATATATTTAATAATATTCTCTAGGGCCCTAACTGTTTTTTTTAATCAATCTTACAAAAAGCATAGGTAGCGCTTAGGATGCGCATAGGTTTACTAACAAATTGGGTTAGAATAGGTGCGAATTAGAGCGTGTGTAGGGCGCTTACTGAAATGGGTTTAGGTTCCTGCCTAGATAACAGATCTTTATATTTAAAAATCCGACCTGATGAAGTCACTGCTTCGCCATTGCCCCATTGCACTACACTAGGTACTGTACACTATGAGACGAAGACGGCCACCTACCGGTCGATCTTAGCGTTACCGAGTTACTTCACCCAGCCGTGCAATAGGCGTGATAAGAGCGTGTACCTCCCTCACGATAAACAGATGACCACAACCATCCAGTGCGCCCCGGATCTTAGGCCCGCGACGTCGAATCGGCCTTCGGCTGGATAAATCTAGCCTGGAATCGTGGCTTATGTAACATGTACGTACGCACGACTCCGGTGAACCTAGAGGGGCTGATTCAGGACAGTTATACCTTCGTCGTCGAGTACCAAATGCATATACTGGAGTAGATAGGTTGGGCTGAGACAACAAGCCACATCGGAAGCCATCACACCCACGCCACGCCACGCTGTTCGACCAAAATGACAAAATCAACCTAACCTCGGTTCCCATAGCCGGAGTCGTAAGGTTGAGTGGTGCATGTCTATGTCTCTTTCTCTGCTGAAGAACCTTCGGTATTTGGCTTTTCAAGCAAAGCTCCCGAAATCTAATCCCAACAACAAATACATGCACACAACGCTACGCAATCAACAAGACGTGGTGGGTAGACAAGATGAGACGAAACAACGCATCTATCTATCTATCTGCCTGTCTATCAATCTAGATGATGAGTGAACGTGCACTACATACATGGATGCATACCTAGCATACCCCGCGTGCAGCGCATGGGACAGGCATTGGTACTTAGTACGCTACCTACCTCGATTATACTGCTATACTACTACAGACATCACATCGATCGAGCCACCACTTACCACCTTACAGTAAGTGCATACATAACTTGCGCAACCAACTGGGTACACTACAGTACATAGGCCCATGCATTGCGGTGCACCGCAGCGTTCGTCTCCCAGGTAGGTAGCTGGCGCCGCCATGATTACCTGCATGTCATCTATGTTGCCTGGTCAAAACAAACCCCCAACATCATCTCCCATCGGGTTTCTATGCTAGGAATCCCATGTCGTCGCCCTAGTCTGCCCTAGGTATTTCGTTGATAGGCAGGTTGGTATCTCACAGACAGGTCTAGAAATAAACATCCATCTATCCATTCATGCTGGCTTGATTACGTTCCCGTGCTTGGATACTCGGAGCGGGAACGGGGGATCGCCCGCATTAACGGTGATACCTATTTCCCTACTCTGCACATCACTATATAGTACAGTAGAATAACATGCATACCACCACCTACAGCAGTTAGGCGGACTAGGCAAGCAGGTCGTGAGGGAGTTACCCCGCCGACGCAACAAACCCCGAATCGAGAAATGCCCCTACATATCTGAAAACAAATATCGGGAAACAGTATAGGCGAGCCAAGACGACGTATACTCAAATTAACCCGCTAGAATCGTTCGACCTACCCATGCAGGCCGATATAAACAGTCCCTGCAAGGGTAATGAACGTCCTTTGATACCTATATCATCATAGACCTCTATAAATATATATACACATTCCCTTCACCTCTGCCCTTCAAGCCCTTGGTGCCCTTGGTGCGACCCCATGGACTGGAAGAACGACGCATTTTCTTTCATGCAGCCACCCGCTATCCACAACAACCCTCATGAAACTTGTGTATCTACACGACCTATCAAGGGAACTATGCCGGTGCCACGCACCAGGAATTCCCATAACGGGCACTTCCACGACAGGTGGTGGCGAATATGTGTAGATCTCTCGCAGATGAATACCTACTACAGCACAGTGAAGAAGACTTGGCGGGGGCCGGCATCGGCATGCCGAAGAAGAAGCGTCGACACATATGCTCGCTCGGTACCTTCTTAATCTAGCATGACCAAAGTAGATAGTAACCTTGAGATAGACGCTCGCCACGAAAAAGATTGCCCCTATCATAGTTTAGTTACACATGCCCTTCAGCTACGACGACTACAAGGATATGAGAGATAATAAGTCTACACGCTCCATGATAATACGTGTTGTCCGCCGTACACGGATGGATAGGTGAGAAACAAATCAAACTATAACTGACGAGCGTAAGAGAGCATAGGATGTAGAATGCAAGGTTTTGGACTTAGTCAACGAAGTTGAGCAGTCAGTCAACTCGCAAGTTGAATAAATGGATTGGGAATAAGTTGATTTATTTAATTTATATTCATGTATCATCTCTCCAACCCGCCCAAGCTCTCGGTATCAGTCCTTCGTTGTACAAGAAGAAGCACAGAAGCCCTCTTCTAAGACATTATTTACGTGAAGGTTCCAACACGCATAAAGTAGTACACACACAACCACCATCCTTCCTCCCTCGCCACGGAAGGGACATGTGCGTATCGTACCGTTTCGAACCGTGTGCCGCCGTCCCGTCCCGTCCCGTCTTCCATGCAGTGTGCCAGCGGCCGACGCAACAGCCAGTCTAGTGTATCTCGAAGTTTAGACCGTTTCTTGCAAAGAATCTCGGCGTTCTTTGTAGCGAGACTCCTTCTTCCCTTCTTTCTAAAACTCTATATAAGTCTTTCTTTCGAGCCATCAATCAGATGCCGCGATTAAACACAACCAATCCGCCCTCGCCGCCACGGCCATGGAATTCCTCCTCGAGGCTCTCGGCGCCGATGCGCTGGCGCTGCGGGAACGCGGCGAGCGCGAGTGGGAGGGCAATGTAGCTCATGCCGAGAATCAAGCCCAGGTTCACGGGCAGGGTCAGGCGCGGGTTATTCCGCAGCCACTGGGTGCGCTGCAGCCGCACGAGGACGAGCGGCGGCACCACCATGATGGGGCTGCTGTTCAGCACGCGGCTGAGGGCCGTCTCGCCGACGGCTAGCGTCGCCGCCTTGCGGCTCTTGCCTAGCGAGGCGACATCGCTCTCGGCGCGGCCCTCGGCCGCTAGCCTCGCCTTGTCGGCGGCCGACAGCACGGGGTACACGTCGATGCCGACGCGCATCTCCTCGCCGCGCATAAGGAACACGTTGAGGAAGCCTGCCGACGCGACGGCGGCGAAGGGGACCAGGCGCCCGAGGATCAGCTTTGTGGACGGCGATACGCGCTTCAGGCGGGGCACGAGGGAGTTCAGTCCCACGGCTACGGAGCACGAGGCGCCGACGGCGAGGAAGTAGGATTGCGCGAGCTTGGAGTATGAGAGGGGCGTCGACTTGTTTGCGTTCGCGTTGTTGATGGCTACGTTGAGGGACTGGTTGCCGATTTGCCAGAGGATGGTGCCGGTGGTCTGCGTGGCGCGAACAGTTAGCTTTGATTCTCCCCGATACGCTTCTTTCTCATTTGGCTTTCGAGGTGCTATATGTGATACGGGGTGTAATGGGGGGGCGCATACCGATAGCCCAGGCGTAAGCATTCCTGCAGTGACGACCAGGTTCGAGAGGGCGAAGCACGACATGCGAAAGGGCAGCAAGACGGGCTTGCCAGTGTCTATGGCATTGCACCGTATCCGATTAGCCGAATCCAAAAGCGCCAGACGTATGAGATGGTAAGGGGAGGATACCAGGATGTATCGTCGCGTCGACAATCTTCTTTGCCTTCCACAGCTCTGGCGTCATCTCGTTGATCTCGCCCTGCTTGTATGCCATGACCAGCTTCTTCGCATTGTCGAGGCCGGCCGTGCCAGCGAGGAGGGTCCTACACAGCGTATTAGTCCATGTACTTTCCACGCATCCAGCATCATCACACCTCGGATCGGTGATGCTCGCGGTATGGCGCACGCGGCCCCAATACGTGCTCAGGTCATACTGCGACTCGGGCAGCTCCCGGTTGCCGGGGATAGAGGCGGACATGTTGGTGCAGTGGTATCGAGACTGCCCGCGCCGAGCATGAGCACAGCTGTTATACCACCGCCGAGCCGCAATCGGTCATGGGCACGAGAGTCGCAAAATGCCACTCTTTTCATTGGTGGTGCAGGAGGGATGCTTTTGGTACCGCCCGACCGAGATCGGGGCTGCCTTTACGCTAAATTCATAGTCCGCCCCGCACACCAACCGCCGTTAACCGTCCGCACCAACTCCACTGCCGCTATTAACAGCCGTTAGTCTTCCAATCACACGAAGTCATGTGCCCAGCCCGGACCCTGCACCAAATGTGGAAAATTCAAATTACTTACTTACATTAGTTGTACCGAGTATCTACCATTTACGTATTAAAGTCAATTTAACCTACCTAGGTAACGTAGATTGGTTGGGACCAACAAAATGGGAAACGTAAAGGTTAAAGGTCACCACCATGCCAATTTGGGGGGGGTCCCATGTTTCCACCAATTGATATTGGCAAAAGTATCAAAAGAATGTCTCGACTTCGGCCGGACTCGAACCGACAATCTCTAGAGAATCAGAATAGTACCGAAATCTAGCGCCCTAGCCATTAGGCCACGAAGCCATTGCTGTATCTCGCTGGATAGCTGCTTGATGGAGACGAGGGGAAGCAGTAGAGTACATAAACCACCACCGTCAAAAGCACATTACAGCACCTAATTCCTATTAAGGTGTCCACTCCCAACCCCGCCGCCACCCCTGCTGAGGCAAATAATTACCATCTAGAATTGTAAAGGCACTTGCTGTTACTGTATAGATATATGCCGTCTCTCCTCGGCGTATTAATCCCCATCGCAGAGGTAGAAAGCAGTTCCATTACAATACGCGGCGAGAACACTACAGTTAGCCCTGAATGTCTGTCGCAGAGCCGTCGTCTCGATGTTATAAGACACCCTCTGATTAAGCGGCAGTTTGTACTTCAATCTCAGCCCGTGTCACGATGACGATACAGAAGAAGATGAGATGTAGACTAGCTTGGAGGACACTAGGCTTCGTAAGATTGGATACGAATCTTTGATCTTGAACCGTTTGATGATAGTTGGGTGGCTCTGCCGCCTCAGTCGCTCAATGTTGTTGGCTGAGATAAGGAATTAAAACATGTGTTATCAGGCGAAGCGACAAGTTAGTAAGTATCGTAAGAAGTCCTAAATTCACAAAATCACCATTCGATACGATCGTTAACCTAGAATGGTTTGCTTGGTAACACACCAGGCACGCTGACGACATTATAACTGGATAAGCCATTATTAACCTGCCATTTCCGCGTAGACGGTCGTTATGGTCACGCATGTCAGAAGTGTACTAGGTCAAGGAGTCACTTCATGTACTGAGACACGAAGGGGGGCGCGGTCGTCTTGTTTATGTACATATTGAGGTCTTCCCACCTTGCTCATGTCCGTCAACAACCAAAAACACTCATAAAGCATAGCTTCAACAGGGTCGTCTTATCTTAGGAGGGCTCGGCTATGAATCACGACCACTGAAGGGTGCTACTTGCACGTTGTAAGAGTTGGTTCGAGATCCCTTGAGACGTGAGCCAGTCGATGATGCATTGTGCTTTTGGTCTTAGCGTGTTAGGGATCTCGTTGGGACCACTCCCATGTAAAGAGAATGAGGAATGAGGAATGTGAAACTGGAGATATGTTGTAATGTACGGAGGAACTCAAGAATATCAATCATTGAGAGCTACTGCATAGAAACTCTGCAACTGCGTGGTGGCCCCATTTTCTCGCGTGGACTATTGCGCCATCCACTCCTGTTGTTCCCGGCACCCAACTCTCCCCACCCAGACTCCGCAAAAGATGAATTATATCCAATCTTCCTCCTATGGCAGCAACGTCCAGTGGCGTGGCGTAAGTATTCATAATCCAGTGGCAGGCCCAGTTGAGGTCAGCGCCATGTTTCAAGAGCAGAGCGGTTACATTCAACTTTCCAACCGAGACGGCAGTGTGAAGAGGCGGCATGTTATCTCCGCATGGTGGGTTGATATTTGCTCCTAGTTTAATCATGTCTTCAACGAACTCTATCGGTATATTTTTACTGCGGCAGGCTGCTACAAGTGGCGTTACGTCGCCAGCGTAAGCAGGGTGGTTAACCTTTGCCCCTCGGTCCAGAAGTCGCTTCGCGACGGCCAGACGATCAAACAATAAAGCGCCTAGGAGTGGCGTAGATCCCGCAATATATTCGTCGATGTTTCTGGTAACGTCAATAACCTGGAAGATCAAGGCGTCGTCGGCGTGGTTGCGGATCAGCGACGTCAGAACCGATAGAGGTGGTACTCGTTGAGGGGGCCCATTGACTGGAATATCTGCACAAAAAAACTTCTCGAAGATCGCTATCGTATCTTTTTTGTATTTAAAAATCCCATTCCATTTGTCGAAAATTGGAACCGGCGCGTCCAACACTGATAGGTGGGGGGCCGGGGGCATGGGGGGGCTGAACACTGACTCTAATAAAGTATGGTGCTTGCGGACGGTTTCGGTTTTAGAACCTTGCTCTAGAAGAAAATTCACGATTGCTACTCTATCATCGGATTGACTGGCAAACGCATCGCCTAGCATAGTCGACCGGGAAGGGGGATGCAGCCGTCTAGTCTGAGTGATCGACAATGATGAGCTGAGGAAAAGGTGATCATAGTCGTAGGCGAGTTTCGAATGGACACAATAGCCTCGAGCTACCAAGAACATGACCATGTCCAGGCAACAATTATGGAAAATGGCATAATGTAAGGCATCGCGCCCATCATCTCCTATTATCAGGGGAACGCCCCAAGACCACGCCATATCGCAGACTGTAGCACAGACCGGGAAGTTTTTTTGATAGGCTCTTTCTAGAAAAAGGAGCATCAAGCTTCGGCCATCCATTTTAATTTCTGGACAAAACAACTCGACTAGCGACAGAGCCGCGATCATGGAGCTGAACGATGCGACTACTGACAGATGATAGGTCATCAGTTCTGCCCCATCTCTCCCATTGAGAAGTTTCCGAATTATGAGGAGTGGCTGGGAATAAGCGTTTCTGTCTTTCAATATCTTTAAAATATGATAGTGTTGACCATGAGCCGCTCGCACTGCCGGATGCCAGCTCTGTGAATTGCCTCTGTTTGAACATGGCCCGTCGTCATCTTCAATGTATTTGACATTTGGGTCCACACCAAGTTGCAGCAAGCAACTCACTGGCCCTGAAAGGCCCCGGGCTGCAGCCTCGGAAATTGCGATTTGAAGGACAGCTGTTCTATCTTCGCCATTCGGAAGCTGGCGGCTTGCGAGATATTGTTGGAGATTCTCGTAACCTTCATTTGCTGCTAGGCAGACCCCCGCAACCGTGACCTCGCTTTGCATCTTCAAGCTCTTCTCGGAGAACTTTGTTAGTAAGGAGGCCAAACTAGGGAAGTATGTCCATGTATAGTCAATAAGCCATAATGGGGACCCTGGTGCAGACCATCCCCAGCGGCTTGTTGGTTCTCTCATCCTTGAGTCACGAGGATAAACGTCGACATTCGATCCAGCGTCTAACAGTGCGCATATACAACCCATGATGATAGCAAAAGATGGTTTTGCCGCCCCCAATTCAACATGGAGTGCCGCGAATAGAGGTAGTACCACCTCGCCCACAGGTGGCGGGTTAACCCTAGCCCCATGCTTGAGAAGGATTTCTATTATATCCAGATCACATCTCAATGCCGCGATAGCTAGAGGATTGAGCATAACATGAGGGTCCCTGGGAAGAGGAGGGGTGCGATTCAAACCTATGCCCACGCCGCGAAGTTCGCCCCAAGTAATTGTCGAATTTGGGTTTATGTTAGGTTTCTTTAACAATACTTTGAGCTTATCTATGGATTTCATGGCAATGGCATCAATCAAACACGTTGGTCTTCTTGTAACCCATTGACCTTTGTTTATCGAGAGGTCAAGTTCGACAAGAATATTGTATGCCCGGACTTGTCTGAGTATGACAGATAACTGATACAGATCTTCCCAAACCGCTTGGATCGTAAACGATTGAATTGAAAAGAAGCGTTTCAGTACGTTGAACTCAGCCGAGATCCCAACCCACTTAAGGAGTGATCTGGTAAAGCTGGAATCTAGACGATTTGACAAGATGTAGCAAGCTTGTGATAACAAGGCTAAGTCAGAGGCTTCCATGAGCGAGGGAGACATTTCTATTGTTGAGACAGGAAGACGTCGGTTTGTTTCAGTTGTTATAGCTGTAGTGGTATTTGACATGGCTGTATCGTAGCAGTTAGTAGACTAGAGTACCAAAATGGGGATATGGACGACATACTCTGCCCCATAAAGGTAGAAACGAATTTGGTAAAAGGTGACTGAAGCCTTATAGAGTCAATGCATTCAGATGGAATGGCAATTTTGACTGCTGAGAAGATGTTGATCATTGTATCCCTGTTTCTTCGTAACTCGGGAGAAGGGGTTCTGATCGAAATATTGTGACGTATTAATGGCGGCAACACGCCTGCATGTTATTTAGTTGGCGTTGTTTACACATAGACTTGGACCAGGATACTCACAATGCCTTCTTATTCGATCTTGGAGTACCGATCTCCTGTTATATCGGCGAATCTCTTTCTCGACTTTTCTTGGCTTCTGAAGGATGCCCCCCAGATAAATGTGGCTAGGTTTCCCTTGGAGCCTTCGTTTCTCGACATGATATCCAATCGAGTGCCAATCGGAGGCTTTGAGATTTTTACGGAAGCCGTAACGGTCTCGCAGTGTGGTTTCGTAATCTGATAACCTGTCCGCGAGGATGAGCGAAGAAGAAACTAAGAATCAAAGGCGAGCCGCCTACGCAAAATTTGGGAAATCATGCTCAGTTTCCATTCTTCGCTTAACCATCTCGAGAGTGCAATTTTCGGTAAGAAACAGCCGTTTCAAGGTCTCTCTATTAGCGTCCCAGATAGTGAAGTTCTTTTCCTCGTTGGCGTAATTGACCGCCGGCTTAGCCGAAAGAAACTGCTCCGCAGTCGACGAGGCCATGTTGGGAAATATTGACAGAGAAGAGATCGCAAGTCAGAACTCGGTGATTGGACCCAAATCATCTGCAATGTTGCCTACACCGAGGAAGTCGAATATATATATTCTTAAGTACAGATGAGAGAGACAGGGGGATATGATTGAGTATGTAAGGAGGATCTGAATGATTGCTATTTTCTGTGGGTTAAATGTAGGAGTGACACTGTCACCTATTTATCTATATTGGTGTTCTTAGACAACAGCCCGGGTAGTAGTCCTATGTCACCGATAGAAGCCAAAACCGGTAATAATAGGGGGCTGCGACGCTGTAGTACGAACCCCTATCATAGTAAACCCAAAATCTACCCAATGGCCGCTCGTTGCTCATCGGTAATTAGGGGCTTGCGCCAAAACCGGCCAATAGTAGGGGGCTGCAACGCTGCAGTGCGAACCCCTATCATGGCGAGCGACCTACAGCCTACTTTATCAAAAATCTGCCCAATAGTCGCTCGTTGCTAATCGGTAGGGGCTTGCGCCAAAATCTGGCCAATAGCCCATGGATTACCTCTGGTGTCGAAGTACGCTGCCTGCGTCTGGT